AATGACTGATAAATAGTTTTTGTATATGAAATCATCTCTACAGTGGCATGCAGTTAAGCAAAGCAAAATATACTACATTTATTTATCACCTGAAGATACCTTTTTTAAAATTAAGAATGCATAAGTAAACACATTTTGGGTTTCCATTAAATACTTACAATCAAGCACCTGTGCATTCATGAAGCAATAAAGTACGAACTTCAGTGATACAGCTTTGTTTAAAGATCCCACATATATAAAATATCAGGCAACTAAACTTTGTTAAAAAGTATATTCACAATATTCACAATTTAAAATAAGAACAACATAATTCAATCTTTTTTAAAGCAAAAAATGGAAAAAAAAAAAAAAAAAAAAAAAAAAAAAAAAAAAAAGCTTACTGAGCTGAGTAACAGGGTGGGCGGACGTATATATATACATACAAATTTATATACTTTTGGTGTGGCCGATTGCAACCAAAAAGGGAGGTGCATAACTACATATTAAAACAATCCTATATACAAAATTTCAATGTTCTGAGGCTACTCGTTTTTGAGTTATGTGAGATGCGTACATATGTACCTACAGATGCCACAAAATATTCTCTTCCATTTTAAATCAGTTTTATAATTCGTTCGTTCGTACAAGAAAGTAAAAATACTATTTCTGAAATAGCATGATTTAAAACCAGATGCAGTACATATTAATAGGAAATTAAAACAAAATAAATTGCTAACTTCATCTTATTGAACTGAACACTCTATTATTTTATGAACACAGTTACTTTTCACAAATGCATGTAAGTGGTTCTTAGTTCATTTATACATTTTAAAATTTCATCAAGAACAAAGTTATAAACTTTAAACACGGTATTTTGTTTGCACAATCCTAAATTATTCTAAATTGTAAAGCTGGTGCATGATTACTAGAATTCTGGCTGATAATGAAAACCTCACTCTTTCTGAATAGCTTTTTTAGAACTATTTGCGAGAAATAAAGTTATTTTACCGAAATATTTGTTTCAAAAGTAATTAATAACTCAGAACACATCTGTTTTTATCTCATTTATGGAAAAACAAGCTAAAATAAAACATAAAACTTTTCTTTTTACACAAATAAAAAAATTCAAATAAAATATTTAACATATAACTGTCACCTTAAACTCTACTTCTAATTATATTTTACTTACCACATGCCACTGCAGTTCTATATATATACATATATATGGCATTTATTTTCACAACTTGCACAACATATTAAAATCAAAATATCACTTTATATTTCACACACATGATAAATTTTTTGTTTGTAACAATGTATAAGAATAAGCTTTGTTATAATTTTTAAAGATTCACCTTAGTGGTGCAATGAAGGCACTATTTCCAAGTGGGAGGTAGGGAACATTGAAACAGAAGTATATACATAAAATACTTATATAATGCCTATCACAAAAGAAATAAAAATTAATTTCAAAGGAACCAGTGTTGAAAATAATTTCTTCAAAGCACTTTTCTTTCCTCACACAATTAATAGATTCTTATGCTGTTCAATCTTCATGGAGGATACAGAAAAATTTCAATTTATGAAAATTAGATGGAATATATTTCCTAAACTTACAATTTGTCTATAAATTAAGCTAAACTATTTTTATACATACAGATATATACATATATAAAAAGTCTACAAATTGTAAAACATTTAAAAGAAATAAAACTAAACATAATTATCATGACAATTTACTTTACTATAATACTCATAAGAAGAGCTTGCAGGACAATATCTGTAATTATCTGAAAATACACAGATCTGAAAATATTCAGATAATGAAGAACAGACATGTAAATCTTAGATAAACCTAGGCCAAAATCTTTAGCATACAATGTTGTCTAATACTGAACATGAAAACAAACAAATAATGTTCTCAAATAATTAAGTATTGGCAAAATATGAATACCACTGCAAAAGTTTCAATATTCCTAAATCTTTCACTCTTAAAGGGGGGGGGGAGAAGAAATAAATTTCATACATTCTTTGGGAATCAAAATCCCATAATATTTCTCATGCTTAATATTAGAGATAAAATATTTTCTCCATTGGTTCCCTTAAAATAGTCATCTTCTTTATGTAACAAGCAGACTTCAAGTAAGCACTTTAGTCGAATTAAATTCTCAGAATAGGCGAGAAGTTGAGGATGAGTGAGATCCCAGCCAGAAACAAGTTTAGATATAAAAGTGTCTTAAACATAATATCTAACAAAGCAGCACAACAATACATACAGACAAATTTAAAAATTACATTCATACTTTGGAAAACATGAAATAAGGCACAAAATTGAAATTTAAATCTGAATTGCAAAATAAAAAACATACTGAAACAATAATAAGGAAAATAAAGGCAGGGAGCAAAATACACATACCAGAAATAGTTGATTATTAAAAACAAAGAAAGATAGCAATCTTAAAATATTATTACAGTATTTCAATGCCTTTAATCATTTTTGTCAGGTCTTAAAATTACACATAATTTTACAATACTGCATAATTTATTATCAAAAAAATTTTCAGAAAGGAGGGAGGTAAAAAGTCATAGATAACAATAAGAAACAATGATTTCCAGAAGATATATATTCCACATAACTTTTTAATTTATTTTAAAATTGGTTTAAACTTGATTAAAAAAAATTTGGATACAATGATAAAAATACAATGAAACTTGCTTATAAACTTAAAAATTTTTATAGATTGGCATTTAAAAATTATATCTTACAGATACTGTTTTCTATTCACTGAAAGAAAGAAAAATTTCATTTATATAAACCTACATTTTTTTTTTCCTCTGATGATGTATATATCCATAATATGGAATAAATTTAATGAAACAAACTTAAAAAGATCAGATGTACTTTCATTAATACATACATACTTACTTTAGCACTGGAAAAAAAAATTGCTCTTTAATGGAATTAATACAGATTAATTCATTAGCATCTTCAAAGTTATGATGTGTTATAAATGACTTTTCCCACATTTGTAAAATTTATATGTAATTTAATTATTCAAAACATTTCAAAGTTAGTAAGTTTTATAATTAAAATGTTAAAGAATGATATAACACAGCACATACTGTAAAACAAAATGTTATAATGAACTTGTTTACTTACAAACACAATGCTTGGCAATTTATTTGAGAAAGGCATACATGAAATTGTTTGTATTACAAACTGTACACATTACAAACATAAAATTTAAATAACTTCATGCATGAAACATGAAAACACTTTTTAATCACAGATCACTTCAACCTTATTTGAAATAAACGACTGAAAAATATTTCAAGAATTTCATTTCACAGAAAGACAACATATTCTTTCTAAACTTAAATTATGAACATTCTGTTATTAACAACAAACAAACAAAAATACATAACAAAATTATTTCTCATGAGTATTACATTAATAAAATCACACTAAGCAAAATAATGTTTCTCTGAACTGCAAATTTTATATAAAACTTGGATATGAGAATTTTCTTCCATGTAAAGTCCCCCCCCCAAAAAAAAACTTTTAACAGTCATTACCAAAAAAACACCAAAAATTACTTCAATTCACATGTAAATTGTTAAATCTGAATACAGAAGGAATTAGAATTTCACATGGGCTCAAGAAATGTTTAATAATTGTGGATATAAAGAACTACATAAGTATTGGCTAACTATAAAAAGTAATAGCTATACAAATATTGGCTTGTTACATAAATACCTAGTCTATGGCAAGTGCTTTTTCAATTTTTTTTCAGAGTAAAATAATTCCCAAACTTTATGAGTTTTGAGAATTATTTTGCTATTTTATGAGTTGACTTTTATGAGATTCATAAAGCTAATTTTAAATAAGCATTACCTGTTCTTCAGAATGCTTTTTTCTTTAGACAAACTCCCTCCCCCTCAAAAAAAAAAAAAAAAAAAAAAAAAAAAATTAAAAAGACATATGGCTGAAAAAATTTGAATTGTAAAGGTTATCTTGAGAGGGTAATCTTGCAATGATAGAAAAGCATATTTAGGTATACAGATTTGAATTTAGAGAATGTGTGAAGAGGAAAATTGCATATTATTACTGTTGAGATTTTGATTAGGTTACTTAAAACTAATCTCTCAACAACAGTTGACTGAAGGACTCAAAACAAACCATTATATTTAGAAGATGTCATACCCATGACCAACAATATGCTATACATGCCTGAAACATACATGGGAGTTTACGACAAAAAAAAGCATTTCTATAGTTTTTCAGTTCATAATAAAAAGATTTTACTTTGCTGTAAAATGGCAACAAATATGCAACAATTTTTTTAATTGTTAAAAAAAAAGGGGGGGGGGAATAATGATCAAGTGCTTGTGAAATTTTAATTCATTCTAAAAGAAGGATAAAAAACACTGATTCTTACTGCAGCATGAAAAAAATCACAGCAAAGGAATCAAATAGATGATAAAATTTATACAAAAATGAACTTCAATAGAGTGAACGTAAAAACTGAACCAATTTAGCTGCATCATTGCATTCAATATCATATGAGTACATTCACACTCTAAAGCACTTGCACTCCATCCTGTTAGATATTCTATTCTTATAACATTTTTTTCAGGAACTCTGATCTTTGCAATAAAATAATCTGAAATACAGTACTTTTCTTTCTGCCAATTTTTATGGCACACTAGAGGCATTTTTTCAAGTTTTTTCCCCACTGGTTGACTATTTTACAAAGTAATTAAAAAGCAAATAAATATTATTTTAATGAATAAAAATAATTGTATAAACTGAAACACCACAAATAAAATCAAGCAAAAAATGAAAAACAAAATTTTAATTCTTCAAGGAAATGTGTTGGATAATTATTTGATGCACCTGAACAGAACTTTACACATGAAGTTCCACTGTGGAATATTTTAAAAGTTTAAAATAATTTGTACAGAATTTTTCAAAAATATACTTCTTTTAATATTTAAAAACAAAAGTCTTAATAAAGATATTTGCTTTAGTCCATTTATTAATTATCTCAACATAATAGCTCTGCTATGATTTCCTTTTAAATATCCACACTTTAAAAACTGGTTCTTTGATGAAAAATGCATTATAAAATGAGGCAATATGGCAGACATTAAATAGCTAGGAACAGCATTTTAAAGATACTTTCTCAAATTTTGATAAAAGTCTTATAATCTGCTATATTAAATATATGCATCAAATTACTTTTCAAGAAAGCTAACAGCAAAAGTATAAAAGGAAGTATTTATGCACATACTCATCTTGAACAATAATAATGCCATATTTGTTAAAAAAATAGCATTAAAATACACTCAGTGTACACTTTATAAACCATTTTCCTCCTCCTAAAATTCAACAAAGCAAACTATATAGATAATTTAAACAGTTTTTTTTTTTTTTTTTTAATATGGGGGGAGTTACTGGAAATTAAAGATAATTTAAGATAACAGAAAATTAAAAACCAGAAAATTTTTTAAATTTTTATAACATATTTTGTAATATGTTATCAAGCAATTACACTGAAACAAAATGAAGCCACTTTCAAAAACATGTTTATGACATTTACTGAAGTGCCTTAAATGTGTCATTATTTAAAAAGATATTATTTCTTATATGAGAATATCTTTGATATTTATCCGCAGTTTACATTACACATTTTTATTACATAGTTTTTTTTTTTTTTGGGTTAAATCTGAGAGAGAGAGGCAAGGAAAAAGAAAAGAAAACCATTTTTGAAATAAACATAACTATATGACAAGAATAACAAAAAATATAACTTTTTCATAAATTGTACAAAATAATTTTTTTTAAAAAAAGGATACCTTGTACATCTACTTATTTAATGCATATCACTACAAATATCAAAATAATCTTCAGAGTATGTAAGTAACACAGCTTTGTCTGGCTGATTCTCACTTATTTCTCATATATTACTTCTATTTTCTCAATCAGTTTCAGACAATTATGCTATTACAATTATTTATTCTCAGTAAGCTTCCAGAACAAAGAACTTGCCTACATTCCATTTAATTCTACTCAGAATCTATATTAAATAAATAAAGATTATGTTTAATTTTTCCACTGAAAGTTACTTATCTTTTTTTCAGTACTTCTCCCCTTTTTGCTGAACATTTACACATTATTCTAATTTCTTCACCACACATTATAAAATTTTACTTTATAATTATTTGTTGTTTACTTATTTTACTTCTAAATATCTGCATTAATTTTTGTTCAGTTTAGTAGCATAACTACCAATGTTCACAAATTATTTGCACATAACCATTTACACATTACTTTTGTGAAAACTTTTTGCACATAATGATTTTAAAAATTTCCTTGTTCATTTTCTCATAAATTATTAAAAAAATAAAAACCACTGCAGAAAAGATGGGAACAGTCCCATTAGGAGATCAAAACTAGCAGAATCCTGATATGTCATATCACAATTACACACCATTTTTTACAACTTGAAAATTAAAAGAACAATGCCTTTAAAAGCACAAAATATAGATGCACATGGTATCTATTTTTAGTTCCACACTATTAATACTTTAACGATCTGGATATTTTAGATTTTAACTTTTTCACATATAATTTTATTGAATATACAGTAGTACCCTATAACTGCTTATTATACTTTCTAGGTGTAATATGGTGTAATGCTAGGTAAAGCAAATTATGACAAATATTAAAAGTTAAAAAAATAATTTCTTACACATGGAAAGCAAACATTTAAGATTTATATATTTTAACACAACCCCCAGAAGATGAGAGAAAAATAAAGAAATGCAGTACCTGTATTGTGCAGTGTAATATACTGTTCAAGACGGTCAGAAGCAAAAACCATTCTTGGGTCAGTTTATGTGGGTATTGAAAAAATAGATAAATAAAATATTTTTAAATTCTCCATTTTTTTAAAAAAACTTTTTCTTCAAATTTCCATTTGTAAATTAAATTTTATGATGTTAAGAATATAATCTGCATATTCCAAATCTTTATTCTCTTTTAACAGTAGGGGGATTCATTTCTAACAGCAGGTAATGAATCAGTGAATACTAGGGCATAACTGTATTCCAGACACACTTTGGCTAAACATAAATTATACAATTAAAAAAAACTTTACAATAATTAAACTATAATTAACAGATAAAATTATTTGAAAAGAAGTCAGCAAAAATGCAAGTTAGGAATGAATCATACACTAAATATTTTAGTTGGTTCACAAGCGAAATTAATGAGGTAAAATAAGGGAAAAAGTGCACAATATCATAAATCTGAACTAAAACATAAATTTTCCTGAAGTTCATACAATAAAAACATAAAAGGAATGACAACAATAAAAATATAGTAGTAATAAGATAGCATCTTTCCTAATACAGACAAGTTTATAAAATGCAAAGCTGCAGGGCAGTTAATTTAATTTGTTTGCAAAAATTATGCTTCACAAAAGGCAACTTTTTGTTACTTTCAGTTTCAGTATCTCCTGACAAATATCTCTGCATGATAATGCACTAAGAATAATTTATTATAATTTAATTATAATAAATTATGCTATCTCATCCATATATTCCATTATGCATATTATGGAAACTATATTTGGAACTTAGGACAAAGTTAAATGTTTCAAATACAACCTTGATTTTTATGCTGAAGAGGGTAAAGGGTACAAGAGAGTTTCCTTATAAAGTTTGGAAAATAAATCTATGAACATTTAAATATTTTTATGCTCACATAAAAAAAGGGGGGAGGATTAAAAATATCTAATTCATTCTTTCAGTTTTCAAATACGATATGGAATGCAAAATAAAACCTGAATAAGGTTCAGAAGATTTATTTATCTGAAGAACTACATTTAAACAAAAAGGCATTGTGAATTTAAGTAGTAATGTAAAACTATAGCACAAAATAAGTACAAAACAAAAACAAACTTAAAAAATGCTCAAATCAGTCAAAATATATGTAACTATGAGTATTAAAAAATCTTTGTGGCATGTGAGATGTTTAACATAAACTTCATTTTACAAGCAGTAAAAATATTTTTTAAATTTGACAAACAGATGCAAATCTAATATTCGGTGAATAACAAAGAGATCAGATATAGTGCGCATCAGAAAAACAATTGTTTTTCAAAGCAATGGGAATATTTTTCCTTTTTTTTAAAATTTTTTTACACCGGCAAAATAATTATTCACACAATTTATTAATATTATAACAGTTCCCATACCACGTGCTAACGTAGATGAACATGTTTCACAGCAATGCTCATGAATTCTTTGGAATAAAATTTAGGCTGTTACTATGAACAGCGGAATGAACTAGACAAAAACTGCAACACTTCAAAGTCAGGATGTCCTTTGGGTGGTACTGTTTTCTTGACTAGAAGTACCTTTGGCAGTATCTTCAGATTCACTGCTGCTTCCTTGTTCACTGTCACTACGCAAATCTTTAACCTAGTTAAAATTTGGAGAAACCTATATATATATAGAGAAATCAAAAACTAAATTTTACCAATAACTGAAAAAAAAAAAAAAAAAAAGAGAGAGAGAGAGAGACTGCTTAATACATATTACTTACCCCAGGATTTTTTGATGAGATAGCACGTAAAGCAATTTTAACAATCATCCATGTCCACACAATGTGCAAAATTTGCAAAGCACACAGCAATGAATTGAATACATAATAAGCTGGAAACATTGGCACAATAAGAAGTGCCTCATACATAGTGCTATAAATTATCCTAAAAATATAAAAAATTATTTTACACTTTTAACCAAACTTGCATAATTTATAAAGATGACAGATTCAACTGCAGTACATAGGAAGGGAAAAAAATATTCATATTAACTAGTAGTGCATTTAATTGCAGTTTTCATTCACATGAAGAATATTTTTTGAGGAGTATTAAAATTCACTATTTCTAATAAACAAAAAGCTTTAAAAAATGAAGTTTATTACAAAATATTTTCTCTCCCGTGATATACAGATTAGCAAAGACACATTTCTAAATTTAGATATGAAAGAAAACCAAATTTTAAAATACATGCATATGATTTATTTAATAATATTTCAAGGTATTTCTTACTTATATGGATAGAGACCAAGACGAGAAATAATCCAAGCAACAGTGAAGACAGCAAAACAAATATCAGCAACTCGTTGATTTTCCACATATTTTGCCATTTTTGCTGCCTGCATGAAGAAAAAGTTTAATATCTTCTGATACTTCATATATGTCTCTGACACACAGTAAAGTTCAGTCAAAGTGATAAAATAATTAGTAAGAAATACAAAATTAGACATTTATATTTCTCGTACAATATCAACATACCTCAAGAGGAACATCAGCAAAATCATGTATCACAAGAACTAAGCTGCCAATGCGAAAAAGATTTGATGTCCATGAGAAACTTAGAAGCATTATAGTTACAATGTGATGAACAAACATTTGCATAAAATCCTATGAAGGGAGAAAAAAAATCTAAGCATTTAAAACATACATGTAAACTATACACAAAAAGTAATAAATAATGTATTACATGAAAATTAATCTATCAAGCACACATGAAACGAAAAGTACTTAAAACATAATTTTAGTTTTTCATACACTCTGATGCAATATATTTCAGAAAAATTATCTTTTATCTTTATCAATACATAATGAAGAATCTACATGAATATATATTCTTTTCACTGTAAAAAATAGGCAGCATTTGCAGCTATCAAGTTTTGAACACACTTAATGTTCCACTAGAAGATATGAACTTAAAAGCCCCAACACTGAATATAGATTTTTTGTAAATTTCAAATTTTATATAATTTTAATGAATTTTCGATTAAAAAATTTGGTGATTTTAAAGCAATGTGTTGTCACTCAACAAAGCACCAGATACTTATGATCAAAATTTAATCAGAAAACAATTTCAAAGAAATGTAGCGAGTAGTAGTAAATTTCTTTCAAATTTAATCAACAACTTCAGCAATTTCAAAGAAAAGTGTTGCCACTGTAAAAAAGTATTTTTATCTTTCAAATATCAGTATATTGCCATTTGGCATAGCATAAGATTAAATTTTTCTTTAAAATTTAATTTGTTGAGTTAAAATAACAGCTGAATGCAATTACTCGAGGAGTTAAAGCAACAAGAATCGGCATAATATTCACAAATTTGTATGACTTGTTTCAGAGGTTTAAGTTTAGAACCTTCGAAACAAGTCCTGCTGATTTATGAATATTACACTCATTCTTGTTGCTGTAATTCCTCCAATAACTGTATTACTGTTTAACAAACTAAGCGATTTAAAAGCAATAAATGCCGTTCTTCATGTCTGTTACTAATAATTACCAGCTGGACTTAAACCATATATACAGTGGTGGCCAAAATTGTGGACACTTGGAAATTTTTATGTTTTTGAACTTTGTATGCTTATAAAAAATGTTACGTTTCGCAAAATGCAAACTTGTATATATAATTTTAAAGAGAATTTATAACTAAATTCAATTCAAAACACAAAATTCAATTATTTGCAATACAAAAAAGTTATATGTACTTTAATATAAATAAAAAACACAGTTATGAAGTGGTTTGTAATGTCTAGCTTTCCTGGCCAATCACTGTTCTTGTTCTGAGCACGAATCAAATGTTAGTAACTGCCAGTAGAAGCAGACATCATGTTTACACTTGAAACAATTCATTATTTTGCTTTGTTCTGTAGAAGGAGGACCTGTTTCTTATACACTGCAATTACAAGTAGGAATTTTTATAAAAATTTTTAATATTTAGTCGAGAAGCAATGACATTGAATAAAAGAGTAGATTCGACACCTAGAAAGAGATGTAATATTATTGTGTTACGAGAAAGTGGTCTTTCCTATGCTGAAATTGCAAGACAGGTGGGTGGTTCAGTGACTACAGCTGGAGTCTGAAAGTTTTGTTTACGATATCAGGAGACAAATTCAATAAAAAATAAAGAAGGAAAAGGCCGAAAAAGGTGCACCACATTTACTGATGACAGAAGAATAAAAAGACTATGTCTCCAAGATAGAAAATGTCATCAGCGGCCATCAGAAGTGATCTGAATGATGCTGGTGTTTCTGTCAGTTCAAGAACAATCAGGAGAAGATTAACAGATGTTGGACTGAGAATCAGAATTCCACGAAAAAGGCCTTATCTTAATTTTCAGCAATGGAAAAAAAAAAAAAAAAAAAAAAAAAAAAAGAGACTACAGTGGGCAAAGAAACACGTTAATTGGACAGATTTTTTTGATTTTTATATTGATTTTTTTGTGTGTTTCACTCTCAAGAGTACGGAAAGCATGCAGGGGAAACTCAGAGGCAAATGTGAGACTCTCTGTGATCTTCTTCTTTTTTCTTTTTTTTTTTAAAGGAAATTTATTTAAAATGGTTTAGTTTCAAAGTGCCCACAATAACGAAACATGTTATTTGGCACTCATTAATCGTTTGGTGTTTCATAAATTTACCCCTTGACAAGTTTTTTTTAAACATGAAATAGGGGAGATTAATATTTTGATTTTATCATTTTTTAGACCAAAGAGGCAACTTGCCTAGAAGAGCTATTAATTTCATTTTGGCATTTTGCGTTAATTCACTATAAATGGTGAATCACTTTTAAAATTTTTGCTACCAAATATTAGAGCAATGTATTATATTTAAAGAAATTAAATAATGAAGAATCTGCATAAATGTATGTATGTTTCTCGCATTGTGATAAAACAACAGTACCTAGAGCCATTAAATTTTGAATAATGTACATCTCCAGCCGAATACAGGATTCTGGAAGTTATTTTATTATCTATCTCATATTTTGTAAAACATTTCTGAGTTTTTGATTAAGAAACTAAACGATTTCGAAGCGAGCAATGGAACTACTGTACCGGGGGTTGAGGGGGGGGACATTTTAATCTCCAGCGCGCAATACCTTTCGTCTTTTTACCATTTTTCAAATTACATTGCTTCTTATACTAACTTTTTCAGTGCTTTTAATTTTAAAGACTACACTATTGTTCTAAGTTTCAACTTCCTGTACAAAAAGATTAACTTGATAATTTGGTCAACTTTAAAATTTCACACCATAAATATTTACCATACACCTTTTTCTTCAGCTAGAATAATCAGGATTTCTTTTTCTAATTTCGCAAACTTTATATATATATATATATATATTTTTTTACAATAACTATTTTGAGTAACTGGTTATGCAAACAGTTAGTTATTATTAATAATAATGATAATAAATTTATAACAAAGTTCTTCATTTTGAAACAAAGAAACAATTCACCACTAATTTTTAACAACACTAACTTTAATAATAAATCAATATTAAAATATTTCTCTGAAAGAAAAACCAACTTTATGGGGAATGTTAATTGAAAATAGATATAATTACCTCCAACATAACTGAAGGTAAGCAAGTCATTCTCATTACCAAAAATACATACATTAATGAATTTTGTTGAACTTTTAAACATAGCTTTATCCTGAAAGGTAGTACTTTAGTTTCTAATCTATCTGAAGTTAAAACCATTGGTAAACCACTTCTCATTCTTCTAACAATAAAAAAAAATTTCATTATAACTATACATACTGCTAACAATTTTAGATTTCACATTTTTACTGACAAACATAAATACCATATTTCGATTTTGCCCATAATTTCTAATTCAGAAATTCATTCATAAGCCTTACATGTATAGCCAAATATTTAATTATGAAGTTTTTTTCCCATTACCTTTCAATAGCATTTATATTACCAAGAATTTTAGATAAAGAATAAAAACTCAGCATTTTCCTCTATAATTCAAAGATATTTCTTAAGAGTAAACAACTATTTACCAGCATTCATATATGAAAGAACACTGAAATATCTTAAAATAATTATTATATAATTCTTTTTCTCACATGCTGAAACTGGAGAACAGATCTATCTTGCTCTAACTAGAAATCAGGCAAAATGTGACTTCTTGAAAGAGGTAAAACCTATGTCAGACTCCCACAACATGGATACTTTTTTCTAAAATTCTTTATTTTCAACTGTCTTAGCATTTTTTGTCATGTGCACTAACTGCTGAAAGTGCTCACTTTCAATATTTCCCTGTTACTAACAGCTAAATAGAAAGGAGAAAATTTATCTATTCTGGGTTTAATAGGGATGTAACAGAAGTGATGGCCATAACCTTACGGAATAATTAAAAGATGGAAAAAGTAACACTTTTTGCAATATAAGCAATATGAGGCGGAATGTGAAATGCCAACAAGGAAACACACACATAACAGAAAATAAAAAGTTGTTTTGATAATGGATATTTACAAGAAATAATGTTTGATATTAAAAAATAAATAAATAAAACAGCTGAAATGAATAATGACCATTAACAGCATATACATACTACAATGACAATGAAATGATCAGCATACATTTTGGACATGTCATGAACTTCTGCAGCAATGATACTAATTTTGGTGACAAGGTCATTAGGAAAGTCAGTCTGTGTCATAAACAAGATTCATCACTGTTGTTATGCATATATTGCAGTCAGTTGTTTGAAAAATTCTTGTAAGTTAAACCATTATTTCTTGAAAATATCTGTGATTAAAATGACTTTCATTATCTATATTCTTCATACTTATTGTGAACACAGCAAATTATGAAAACTGTCATTCTTTCTATATGCTACTGGCTCTTGAGTTTGTGACAATCAATTCTGATATATTTTGTATCTATTTTCAAATTTTATTCTTAGGTTATATTCACAGCTAGCTGAATTGCCGATGAAAAATTACACACTCTCATATTTACTTCGAGTGACCTAAGCAATCATTATTCAGATAAATTAATTAAAAAAATAGCAGAATATGAATCAAAATCAGAATGAGCAGCTATTTAAAATAATACATAACAAATCTAGGTAGACTGATAAAAATGTTACAATCTTGTCACCCTGTTGACATGATGATACAGAGCCAAACCTTGGACCCATGTTTGAACACCAAAGAAGGCATAAAAGAATGTCAAATATAGTGTTTCTTCCGCATAATACTGTTAAGACCACTTGAAAGTTTAATGGCAGGGAGAAAAGGACACAAGTAGAAGTGAGTGGAACACCAGAGTTTCATCACTGGTCTTACAGTATAATCCTGTCTCACTAATTGTGCAGCTGAATCTCAGTTTCGATGGAGAATAACCTCAGGGACAGATCTCACGGCACCTCATCGCTGTACCCTACCACCAAGTCATTTGAGATGGCTTTTGGTTTACTAGTATTATGAAGTGCACACCATACCACAGAGGCACTATACATTTTCAAATGTCTATGCTTTCTCCAGGAGTTGAACAGGCTCCAGTGATGCAGCAGGCAACATTATTTAACACTATTCGATCAGGATGGCATGGGAAAAAGAGAGGAAATCTCCAAATCCATATTTGGAGGTGTTTTCAATCATAACTGGGACAGAACTGGCCAAATTCATACTCTCACCTATAAGGTGTCCAATACAATATAAGATGTTCAACAACAGGCACAATCCTATCCTTATTGGTCTCTAAATTCAGATTAAGATAATGAGACACAATATAACCTAGTGATAGAATATATGTATTCTTTAGCAGAAATACATAAATGCTTTTGTTAGAAAACAAATTCTAGCTCAAAAATGCTCAATAATAATAAATCATCAGAGGATACATAGTTTAGCCACTGCTGAAGTCTCAGTGATTAATAGAGTAAGAGTTATCTAATTTTTTGCTAATTCTAATCTCTCTGTATATAGTACAACAGATAATTACACTAATTACAAATGTTCCACACAATAAAACGATAACACAGGCTAAGATTACATCTCACCCACAATTATCATTAGGCTGCTTAGATTCGTAATCTGAAAAGTTTTGAATCTAGTTATTATAAATAAGCTATAATGGATCACAGTCTTTTATTAGTGACTTAATAAATACTCTGAGTGCAACCAAAAAGTAAATACTTTTAAAAAATAATAATTTCATAAATTCAATGGTAAAAATCAAAATTTGATTTCTGCAAATTTATTGTAGCCATTAAATCAAATCTGGTTGCCAGTCCGATGGAAGGAAGTAGGATAAGAATTTTTTTTTTTAAAGAAAATGTACTGATTTTGGCAATGCTAAAATTGCAACTGGGTTGGATTGTATTGCAAGATCAACTGACACGAACAATCTACTGTCATATTACTTATAGAATAATCCCTTTAACCATATTTATATACACTACAATACAAAGATATAAAAGCACATTAGCTGCATTTCTTACATAATAATATGAGATAATAGTTGTGGTTTTTAACTACACAAAAATCTGAGATCTTATTCCTTCAATTAAGGTATAGATTAGTTAACCTAAGTTTCAAGATCCTTTAGAAAAGCTTTTGAATCTTTACGATTTCTTACAGAACAGCATAATATAATTACTATATATTTATAGAATTCCAAAACCATATTACAATTAACAATGTGCATTTCTAATATAAAAAATTATGTAACTTTCCTTTCCCTTGAATATTTGTGACATGAATTTCTTAACTACCTTATTTCCAACAAACAACATTATATCCCCTCCACTATGTCTTTTTTACATGCTTCAGCTATTAATGCTATAAAAATTTCTGATGACAGAAAGTACAACATTGCCTGGGCATAAGATACTCTGAACAGTTTGTGAAATAACTGTTTAAACTCAATTAACTGCATAATCTATTACCTTTCAACAAGGGAAATGAGATTTCATAACTTACATGGAAATTAATGATAAAACAAACAAATGAGTAAAATTTAAGGGGGGAAGGGGCAGGGAGGTGGGAATTTTATGCACAATATTTGAATTACTGTAAAATACATAAATTTCCTTGTAATGATCAGTTTAATAAAATATAAACTGATTACTACAAGAAAAAATTAAGTACTTATGTACACTCACGTTTGTGAAAATTGCAACACCATGAAGGACTTACGCGAGTGAGCTGAAATTTTCAGGAAATGCAAAGTAGCGCATGATATGCAAATGATTAGAATTGCAAATCCGTAGCGCATGCGTATGCTGAGCAGCGCCCTCTGAACGGCTGATGGATCCGAATAAATAGACGGCTGTAGCGAGGCGTGTATGGTTATCGGTGTTTATCTGCTAGTGGTAAACGTTAACTCAATCTGTACTTATGCCTCGTTGACGAAAGAGAGCGAGATTTGAACAACTTACAGAGTTTGAACGAGGGAGAATCATCGGCCTTCGTGAAGCTGGATTGTCATATCGTGCAGTAGCCTCTCGTGTGCAGCGTAACAGCAGCACAGTGATGCGCGTTTGGAAGCAGTGGACGGACGAGTGTCGGACAACTCGGAAATCCGGGAGTGGACCCCGAAATGTGACGTCAGCTCGCGATGATAGACACCTGGTCCGCATGGCGCGGACGGACCGTACAGCTTCCTCTAGACAATTGGCAGCACTGTGGTCAATAGCTACAGGTGTTTCATTGTGTGCTTCATCAATTCGTAGACGTCTGCTGCAGTGTGGACTGCGCGCACGGACTCCTTTATACAGGATCACCCTAATGCACGACCATCGCCGCCTGCGGCTACAATGGGCCAATCAGCATAGAGACTGGCGTGCTGATTGGCAGCATGTCGTGTTTTCTGACGAATCCTGCTTTAATTTGTGGTACCATGATGGCCGCATTCGTGTCAGACGCTATGCCGGTGAACGCCACCTTCCGGAGTGCGTTATCGAACGCCACAGTGGACGAACACCCGGAGTTATGGTCTGAGGCGCCATAGCATATCATAGACGATCTCAATTGCTACGAATTGTGGGCAATCTGACAGCAACAGGTATATCCGTGAAGTTCTACAGCCCGAAGCTGTTCCCTTCCTTCAAAGCTTGCCAGGCGCTGTATTTCAACAGGACAATGCCCGCCCTCATACTGCTCGGATTGTTAAATCCTTCTTTGCAGCGCAGCAGGTACAGCTTCTTCCTTGGCCTGCGTGTTCCCCGGATATGTCGCCAATTGAACATGTGTGGGATGTCATTGGTCGGCGTCTTGCTCGTGATCCTCGTCCTGTTGCGTCTGCAGACGAACTTTGGGTACACGTACAAACGATATGGAATGCTCTTGCTCAGTCAGACATTCAAACTTTGTTTGACTCCATGCCACGTCGTGTAGCAGCACTTATTGCGGCGCGTGGTGGCCACACAAAATACTGATTCTGATCTCTTGTTCTTGTTTGTTTGCTTTGAACATTTAATCATTTATTTATACCACTACCACTCAACTGTGTATTAAATTGCATTCAATTATGACGATTCCTTCTTGGTGTTGCAATTTTCACAAACGTGAGTGTATTAATGGTATGGTTTGTTGACTTTTTATAGAAGGAAAAAAAAAAGTTATGATTAAAAATGCCCCACCCCAGAAAAAACTGCTTGTTATAAGCACATATATTTTTATGTTTTAACTGAATATTTATTCCTAAAATTTACTGATTTGATGTATAAATACTCAATTAATTAATTAATTTCAGTTAATTACTAACCGGAACATAAACTAACTAAAAAAAAACAAGCTGGCTTTTATTTCATTTGTACTGGTGGAAATTTCATGTCAATTATTTTAAGAACAGATTCACAGCAATTGTTCCTTCAGTGATTCTGTGGCAAAATATTTTATTTTTGCAGACATATTACTACAATTTCTTCCAGTGCAAGCTAATCCTGCAAGTGCATCTTTTAAAATATCACACGTTATCAAGGAAAAAGTACTAGAACTTGTAACATAAAGAATGCTCATGGAATGGCATCTTTGTTTGCTAAAATTAAAGAATTGTAATGTGCACGATTACTTGAAGAACTGTTGCATGATTGCCAGAGTATGGTGTATTTTGAATATTTGGCAACTTCTACAAGGTGGTTGAGCTAATATAAGCACAAAGAAATATTTTAATAAAACTGAAATACTTTATATACACAAATAATCAACTAAACATAACAAAACCAATTACCTTCCTTTTAGTATCCATAAATTGTGACATGGTAAGAGACCAATAAAATCCTAATTCCAGCATATAATACCACCAAACATCATTAGTTACACTCTAGATTAAAAGGAAAAATATAGTATAAAAGCAAAACTACAAGTCAAAACAGGAATATGTTTTGCAACTTACCACGCTTGGTTTATACAAAACTTTGCAGTTAAGCAGCAAGTACAACAGCAATTATTTTTAAGGACAATATATTAAACACGACATGCAGTGTATTCCAGCTGTTTAACATGGACCTTCACATAAATGACCAGTAATATGGAAATTCTATGATTAGACTGATAAATGTAAAAACTTTTAAGGTCACATATTTACACTAGAAACCTGCATATTTCTTGTATGAACCAGTGGCATTGTTCAAGATAGACTCACATCCAAAATTAACTTTACATACATGAAATCAAAGACTTCTCAGAAACTGTTAACTATAATTTTATGAATTTATGTGAAAAGATACATAACGCGTAGGATATAAATAGAATGGCAAAACTTTATGAGCAAAACATAAGATATAAAACTGTCGCAAGAAATAATAAAAATGGTAATAATATGTCCTTTGATTTATATACACATATAACAAAGTGTTTTTATCAGTCTCACTTTCAAAGAATTTGTCAATGAGATTTGCTTGATGTGAACAAGTTTTATCATCCATAAACCAAATGTCAGACCTAATGCATCTTTGAAAAATCTTACACAACGTTCTAAGACTTCATCCGATACCTCTGGTTGGTCACAAATCTGCTGCTGAAAAACATGAAGGGGTATCCATCCATCCATCATTATTCCTCCCCATACCATAACACCTGCATCACCAAAATGTTTACGATTCACACTATTTTTGAAGAAAAATTTTGCATTATCCTAGGGATGTAAACATGTTCAGAATCAGACTGGGAATTCACACACAGCTGCACAACCAAACATTTAAAAAATACATTAAAATAATTTACCCCTAATCCTTTCATATTAAAAAGACAAAGCATATTTTTCAGTGCCTTCAACAGATCAAGCTTGTATGTATGAAGCCATCTTAAATGTAATTCCCCCCCTTCCTTCAGCAAAAAATTAAAAATTTTGGTAATCATGTGTATAAGGACATTTCATATTTGAATCATTACAGTACAAATCTTTAATACCACAAAATGTATAGGCTACTGTGAAAGACCGAAACTGGTGAATGTCAACACATACCAAATACGTCGGTGAAAGACCAAATATTTCATTATATTCTTGTACATTCAGACCATTACCGGTGTATGCTGACAATCATAGATTTACTGTGGTGGGGAACAAAAAGAGAAGTTGAGGTCAAAAGAGGGGCGACAGTCTGTCACCAAGATATGTATTTGTTATACTCTGGAATACTGTTTGTCAGTCTTACACACGGTTTGACGGTACAAGCAACATTTTCTTAAATTTTGTTTTTTTTATCCGATACCCTAATTTATGTTGAATAGATACTGCAAATAATCGTGAACTTTTCTTTGAAATGTTAAATGCATTAATTGTGAGTAAATAAGAAGAAAATTGTCTTTATTTTTCACAAGAAAAGTACTCTAAAATACTTTCTGAAGTGAAATAAATGCAGCACACCTTTGGATTACAGATAATTAAAACGTTTTGATGATTTAAAAATTAATGATGAAGAAAAATTAATTGTACCTTTAAAACCAGAAGAAAACGAATATCCAGTGTTATGTTACTAATGATAAATTGCTCAGCATACTATTTGAAATTCGCACTAGAATAGGCCATGGAGGAAGAACATGTATGCTTAAAGATTTTCAAGGTAAATACAAAAACATTACATATTACATTGCATTTTAATTTATGTAAACGATGTCAAATGAAGCATAGTGCACCTAAGGTATTGTTGTAAAATCAATGGTCAATTCTGAGTTGTAAACTCAAGATGTCAAGTTGATCTGATAGACCTGCAGTCACACAGGGATGGCGAACGTACGTACATAATTGTGAATCAAGATAATTTAACTAAGTTTGTCCAGATACCATTGAAAGTTAAGACAGCTGAAGAAGTAGCGTATCATTTTCTTAAAATATTAACATTTGGCGCTCCAGCTATATTGAATTCAGATAATGGTAGGTAACTGAGTAATCAAGTCATATCCAAACTATGTGCCATTTCGAAAGATGTTAAGGATAGATAGCTCATAGAAAGCCTTGTCCTAGTCAAACACAAGAGTCAATTGAAAGGGCTAATCAGGATATACAGAATATATTAACTGCATGGATGAATGATAACGATACAAATAAGTGGTCACATGGTTTTGTTCAATTTGCCAAGAATCATGAAGGAATACACCAAAGTCCTTACGAAGCCATGTTTGGCATTAAACCAAGAAGAGGTATAGTATCATCTTTTTTGCCTGGCGAACAAATAACAAATATTGAAAAGGAAGAACAAGTTGAAGAAACTGTTAATACTTTTGAAAATTTGAGCAGTGGCCATACCAAAAACCATATTCCAAAGAAAAATATTGAAGAGCATCTACCACGTCTTCATATCAAGCCCTGACTGAATAACATGAGTTAATTTTTATAAAAATATTGGACGCAAAAGAGAATCTTCTACTGTAAGGAACGAAAATTTTATGAACCTCAAAAACAAAATTTCCCCCTGCTCAAATTTATGAGACTGTATGCATACAAGTCCCAGATGTCAACTGTGGTCATACAGATGGCCGAAGTGTGCTGCCAGTTGTTGTTGGAATAAAAGACTTAAACTAGCAAATAAATACTATAAACTAGCAAATAAAAATGGCATATTTAAGAGCTTTATACCCATAATCAGTTCATAGTTTGTAAAGAAAAGTTACTTTCCATAAATGAGATTTCTTCTCAAGAAATGTTAATTCAAGAAGTGGACGGCAAGGCCATACATGCTGTCATTGCAAAATGAAGTATTCCACAACTAAATGCAGTTTTAAAAGTAAGGGACTCTTGTGCAATTCAAAATGTCATAAAAGTTTAAAGTTGTTGCAATAAATAAGATTTCAATCCCGTATTATTATTATTATTTTTTTTTGTATTATTTTCTTTTCTCATTTAGAATGTACTGTTTAAATTCCAAAGTCTATTTACATGTGCTGTTACTTAAGCTTTTTCATATTTTGCTATACAGTCAAAAGTCGTTAATTCAGACACCCATAATCCGGATCTCAAAGCTACAAACTTTCTGTGCATGCGTAAGACCTTTATGGCTGCGAATATGCGTTAAATTATCTGATTCAGTTAATGTTGCAGATTGCGTTGTTCCTTAATCTTCTAATTGGATCCGGCTTATTATTTTTTGCAGACTGTTAGAGCAATTTTATAAAAGTAAGCTTGAACTTTCGATTACGTCAAATAGAATTTCCGATATATATTTACTAATATGTAAAGGATCTACAAAGTGAAAGTATGTTTCGAAGTCCATTAAACAAAAAGTGGAATTGCTGCAAAAAATAGATAAAGGCATAATCCTTTGTTTATCTAACCATTCCAAAATCTGTTTATCAATTTCACGCTGCTCTGCGGCCGGGGGGGGGACGCCGTAGTGTGCAATGAATTGGAAGTTGATCTGTCAGCACTATTCTTATCTTCAGGGCAGATGTTTTTATTTTATTTGGCTTATAATTCCTTACTAAATGTAGTATTTTACCTTGATGTACTCCGTCTTTGATATGATTTAAATCAAATTCCTCGTCATTATAATTCACTTCCTATAGTGAAGAAAGTGACACAGAGGTTATTGAAAACGAAAAAATTTCGATTGACAAATTAGTCGGTATTCACGACACCACAATTATAGGACTTCAACAGTAGAACTTTGTAACTGAAGAAGAACTTATGTCTGTTTATAGAATTAAAGAGAAAGTATTATCATATAAAATGAAGCAACTTAAACAACTTACATTGAAAGAAATGTTTAATAAAGTAAACAAATAAATATTAAGCTTTTTTTTTTTTGTAAATTTTGATACCCTTTAGATCATAATTGTTCTTAATTTCATAAATTACGGTTTCATATTTTTAATTTTATAATTTCTGCATGCCATCTTACAAGATTTAAACTGATGATCTATAATAAGGAAAAATCGATAATCCGTAATCGCTGAAGCCCCAACGAGTCCGGATTAATGACTTTTGACTATATATAATATCAATGCAAAAGTTTAAAATAAAATAGAAGAAAGAAAGAAAGAAACGAAGTGACTATGTGAATGTCTACATTCTCCATATTTCGGGCTTTCACAGTAACATATACATAAGTAATGCACATTACAGCCACCATTAAATATCCTAGTAAAATGGATTTAAATTTTTTCCCACCAATTATTGTTGCTAAAACAAGCAGTTGTTATAGTCAGCGTAGACTGCATATATTTTCTACACGTTACAATCCAATAACACTTCTTTTCACAAACTCGGCTGTTTTTTCTCTCATTGTACACATTTAAAAATAAAAGCCATCATGCACATGACCCATTTTATGCTCAGAACCTAATAATATTACTATACAGGATTATACAATTCATACATTACTATAAATTTAATGCAACATTTTTTTTTTTTTTTCCCATACACAACATATTCATTCTTCTTTACACTTACAATCTATACAGTTCATGCTCATGATAATATGCCTTATATACGATAGATAAAGGGGATTATAACAAATGGTTGAATGGTTGCTGTAGGAAAAATTAATGGAAAATGGATTTAATATACATTTCATCAAGTAGGAAATTTTTACACCAATCATTTTAACCAATAAGCATTTAAACTAATCATATTCATTTCAAATACAATTACAGCAATCAATTTAAAAACCATAAAAAAGCTTAATAATGTCATCTTGGCTAATCCCTGCCACCATAATTGTTACAAGCAACGCGTTTGTTGATTTCTCATTAAATAATTATTTCATCTAAGCACAAAAAAATTGACAATTTACAAGAATTCCCAACAGAAAAGGAAAGAGCTCAAGGAGACTGTGGATATTAAATCATTCCTCCTTGGCACCTAGGAATCAATTTACAAAATCACTTGCAGACTAAATGCTAAATCACAATTCAACCAACAACTACATCTCTCAGCTGATTAAAACTTTACTCACACCAAGCTCTCTGAGCTGCATTTATACAATGTAGCAGAGGCTTCTGTAAGAATCAGCCATAGGACTTTGAAAATGTGTTTTCTCGAATTTTCCAGACCATCACACAGTTGGAAAAAAAATCAACAATTGTCGCCAAGGCCCATTAGTGGCATATTTGCTCATGTCACTTGTTTTGCTTCAGCTAATTTTACTATTTAAATATTGCACACATAATTGAAAGATATATAGTTTTATGCAAAAAAATAAACACTTAAGTATAGAACATGCAGCCACAAATTTGATTGAATAATATTATCATAATACCCTAATATTATCACCCTATAAGCAACAAATAAATTTAAAAAACTGAGTAAAACAATGCACATTATTATAACAATATAGAAAAACAACAACACAATGAAAATAATTTATATACACTCCAAGACAAAAAAAAAAAAAAAAAAAAAAAAAAAAAAAAAAAAAAGATGCACCAAGAAGAAGTAATGCAAATTGGACACAACACGTTGGACAACAGAACGTGACGACAGATCAGTCCTAACTGGTACTTCAGTGACAGCAACGATCATTAATAGGCAGCTCAGACAAAGAGAGCGAGATCATGCACCCCTTGCATGGACTACCATTGATCCCTGTACACCAATAAGCCCATTTGAATTGGTATCAGGCACATTTGACCTGAAATGTCACTGACTGGAGTAGAATTGTCTTCAGAGGTTAATCCCACTTCAAACTGAGACACGATGACCAGGGAAAACATGTCTGGAGACCCCCGTACAGCGGTGGGATACCAACCTGCCTATCGCTCGCCAATCAGAAGTGATGGTCTGGTGTGCCATTTCAATGAATAGCAGGACCCCCTTCGATTATCATCTGCGACACCCTTACAGCATAGCGGAACGTCGACAATATTCTTTGCCTTGTTGTGTTGCCTTCATATCACAACATCCTGGGCTTACATTTCAGCAAGATAATGCCCGCCCACACATGGCGATAGTCCCTAGTGTTTGTCTTCATGCTTGCCTAACACTATCTTGGCCAGCAAGGTTGCCAGATCTCTCCTCCATTGAGAATGTTTAGAGCATTATGGACAGGACTCTCCAAGCAGCTCGGGATTTTGCCAATTTAACAGAATTTGGCAAAATATCTCACAGAAGGACATCCACCAACTCTATCAATGAATGCCAAGCTGAAAGCAGCTTGCATAAGGGCCAGAGATGAACCAAGCATTACTGACTTGCTCAATTTGTGAAGCTCTTTCTCTTGAATAAATCAAACAATTTTTCTGAAATTGTAATCACTTGTTTTTCTGCACATGTACATCACATCTACCAATTTTCATCCCATTTCGATAACTCATTCTTTGTGCTTCTTTCTTTCTTTTTTTGTCTTAGTGTATTTACAACAATATGGAATTAAATCGGGTGAAATAAGCAAAACCAATCTTTGGATGACATATGCTGGCAACTTTTTGCAAAATATTTGCTTGGTGATGACTAATGATATGTGTTAGTTTGCTTCAATATTGAAAGAACAAGTTTATCTCCAATACTGCCTAAATGTTGCCAATATTTGCCAAAGACAATCTGTACCCCCAACAGAAAATAATCAAAAATATACAAATCTTTTCATACATAACACACTAAATTACTGGAATAGTTATGATAGTACAAAAAAAAATTGGAAAAACAGAATTGTGGCTGATTTTGGCACGAGTTTTATGGATCACATTTTAGAAGCCTCAGTAACACTTTTTTTTTACTGAAGGTATTTAAATATTTTGACATAATTGTAACATCTAATAATCCATGTAATAAACAACTCATTTTCATCAAACTAACAAAATTTTATATGCACAAGCCATTTATGAAAATCATGCTATTTGACTGGAAAAACTTAAGGTCACCTACCGAAATTCATTTTTTAAGCCTTTAAAACATCCATGAAAAACTTTAAAAAACGGTTATGTAAAAACATAAAATACTTACATGATGTGGGTAATCATACCAACAATAATTGGTAATCCATAACCAAGGTTTCTGAAATATTTAATAACATAATGCTTATAAAAGAAACTCCATACACCAACAGTAAATAACAGAGCATTATTAATTTTTTTCAAAAAAAAAAGTTAAAAACACATACTATATTTATTATACAAATGATAAACTTTTAAATTCGTATTAAAATGCATCAGAGCACATGTTGGTTGCTACATTTCTACATGCTATAGTTCTTTTTCACTCAATGTGCACCGTCTAACTTTGAAATTTTCATCTCTTCAAAAATTATTTGAACATGCATTAAATTGAAGATAATTGAAACCACACATATAAAGATTAAAGCAAAATTAATATTCATAAGTAAATTAAGATGACGAAAATTTTCCTAATGCAAGAAATCTTACAACTATCACTACATAAATATTTTGCTAGATATTATTAAACTTGCACCTATAAATGAAGAATAAGCTAGTGTTATATTAACTAAACCAGACTGCAATAACTAGAATTTTAGTAGCCTTCAATTATACAGCAGCCAAAATGTGTGCAGCATATCAAATACATGGGTAACTCTGAAATTTTTTAAGATAGGCTCAAGCAATGTGCGCTACAAGAAAATTACCTGTTAGATGCATAAATTTACACTATAAAACCTTATTTTTCATAGATTCTTACAAAAGGGGGGAGTGGCTTGAAGCATTTAATCTTTGGAAAATTTGCTTTCAAAAGTGCACTGATATTGGAAAGAACACTCCTAAGATTCAGTAATTTTAACTTATACCATTTAACTGTATTAAAAAATTTCAGAGTGACTTTCATATAACAATATTACATCCTGAATCACATCAAATATTGTAACTCAATATATTTTGACATATAGTGGTGGCCAAAATTGTGGACACTTTTGGAAAATTTATGTTTTTGAAATTTGTATGCTTATAGAAAATGTTTCGTTTCGCAAATTGCAAACTTGTATATATCATTTTTAAAGAGAATTTATTACTGAATTCAATACAAAACACAAAATTCAATTATTTGCAATACAAAAAAAGTTATATGTACTTTAAATAAAAAACACAAAGAGGTTTGTAATGTCTAGCTTTCCTGGCCAATCACTGTTCTTGTTCTGAGAACCAATCAAATGTTAGTAACTGCCAGTAGAAGCTGACATCATGTTTACACTTGAAACAATTCATTATTTTGCTTTGTTCTGTAGAAGGAGGACCTGTTTCTTATACACTGCAATTACAAGTAGGAATTTTTGTAAAAATTTTTAATATTTAGTCAAGAAGCAATGACATCAAATAAAAGAGTAGATTCGACACCTAGAAAGAGATGTAATATTAATGTGTTACGAGAAAGTGGTCTTTCCTATGCTGAAATTGCAAGACAGGTGGGTGGTTCAGTGACTACATCTGGAGTCCGAAAGTTTTGTTTACGATATCAAGAGACAAATTCAATAAAAAACAAAGGAGGAAAAGGTCGAAAAAGGTGTACCACATCAATTGATGACAGAAGAATAAAAGGACTACGTCTCCAAGATAGAAAAATGTCATCAGCGGCCATCAGAAGTGATCTGAACGATGCTGGTGTTTCTGTCAGTTCAAGATCAGGAAAGATTAACAGATGTTGGACTGAGAGGTAGAATTCCACGAAAAAAGCCTTATCTTAATTTTCAGCAACGGAAAAAAAAAAAAAAAAAAGACTACAGTGGGCAAAGGAACACATTAATTGGACAGATGATCAGTGGTCACATGGAGTGATGAAACTAAGATATCGTTATTTGGTAGCGATGGGCGAAAATATGTAAGATGTAGAATAGGAGAAGAGCTACATCCTGACTGCATTCAAGCAACTGAGAAGAACCCAGTTAGTGTTATGATTTGGTCATGCATGTCAGCAGATGGTACTGGTCGCCTTCATGTTATCGATGGGACACTGAATTCCAGAAAATACATTGACACTATTCTAGAACCAAAACTTCTACCTTCGATCAGAGATCTCTTTCCCAACAATGCTTCGTTTATATTTCAGCAGGATTCTGCTCCTAGCCACACGACCAAAATATCGAAAGAGCGGTTTCGTACAAAGAGCATTAAATTGTTGTCATGGCCAGGAAACAGTCCTGACCTCAATCCTATCGAAAATTTGTGGCACCGTTTGAAAACTCTTGTCCGAATGAGGCGCCCCATCAAATAAAAGGGAACTAATTGAGGCTATAATTGTTTCCTGGCATCATGTAATAATGAAAGAAGAGCTTAAAACTTTTGTCAGCTCAATGAAACGTCGACGTGAAGCTGTAATCAGAAATAAAGGGTACCCTGCTAAGTACTGATAACTCACTGCAATCATCACTATCTAATGTATATCAATAACTATTATCAGGGTTCATAGCCACATTTTAGTTAAAAAAAATAAGCACCTATAAGCACTTTTCAAGCACATTTTAAGGAAAAAATAAGTACCTGTCTAATTACATTATACACATATTCCTTAAAAGAAAAATTAGACTTGTAATTTAAAATATGAGCAATGCAATATTTATTAAGAGAATGAGCATTACCTTAACAATGGAAAACAATTAGCTTTTTTTTTTTTTTAATTTTAAATGACAGTTCAATTTACAGAATTAGTTTACAATGAGAGAAAAAACTATGCAGAACTAAACTATATTACAAAATTTAATGATGATATTTCAGTTGAAAATATAGAAAATAAATAATAATAAGCAATATTAATTGTATTCGTTTGGCACCTAATAATAAATACGATTTATTTTTCCACTCGTATTAATATTTAAATAATTTAACTTAAATCAAAATTCTGAACATTTTCTAAATTTTCATTGCATAACAGTTTTCCCTTAACATATATCACAAACAAAGTAATTTAAGTAAAAAAGAGGCACTTTCTGAAATCAGAAGATGGGAAATTGCTTCAGTCATCCTTTAACAGTAAAAGCTTAACTAACCCGCGTACTCGGAAATTCCCGAATATTCCGGATAGTAATTGGAAAAAGAGAAGTGGGGGAGATTGTAGCCGTTCTTTAGATTTAAATTTAGGCTAAATAAATGATTTTGACATTTCCATATGTGCATCATATAAAAACCAACGGAACTGAGAAATATTCTGCTTTGAAAGCACAGTAAAACTCTTTTAAGTGTTCATAAACAAATCTCAGACTGAACATCAAAATTAATTATCAATGCAAATACCGCAAACATTATTGCGAAATACGTGCGGCGTAATGCTTCCATATGTGATATTAAGCAATCGAAATCAACACCTGCCGGTATTCGGAGGAAAAAAAAAAAACTAAATAAAGGAAAAGAAAGAGACTTACTAATCTGGGGTGTTTCTGATTCTAATTTTCAACAGACTGTATTAAATTTCCGGAATAGAATCAATCTTCGCTTGGGTTGGGTAGACCACAAAAACTTTTAATCCTATTCAATCCAGATTGGACAGTGACAAAAAAAAGTCCGCTGCTTCAATATTAGAGATTTTGCGGAGAAACTCCCAACCTCCGTACTGTATAATGTATTGGCAAAGAAAATGAAATTATTTTGACTATTCAATTACTTTCCTTTTATTTAAGCCATTCCGAATATTATTCCTTAGAAAGCTAATCTGTGTAAAAACACACCCATTTTTGGAAGTTTATCTATACTTCAGCAGTTACTGCAACTACGAGGCGTATTCGGAAACTAAGTACCGTTTTGAAAAAAAAAATAGTAAAACAATTTTTTCGAATCCAATTTTATTTTTACATGAAAATACATGTCTTAAACTATTTTTCAACATAGTTTCCGCCAATGATCAAACACTTGTCACAGCGGGTGACCAGTTTTTGTATACCATCGTCAAAGAAACTTCCCGCCAGTTTCGATAACCACGACTCCACACTTTTCGGTGAATGAGTGTGTCTCCACTCCATCGATTGTTGTTTCGATTCTGGTGTGAAATGACACACCCCAGTTTCATCACCTGTCACAATTTAGTTTAAAAAGTTTTCTCCCTCATCACTGTACCGCGTGAGAAATGTCAGGGCACTACCAGTCGCTTTGTTTGTGAACATCAGTGAGCATTTTTGGAACCCATCGGAAAACCAGTTTGCGATAATTCGAGCGGGTCAGACACAATTTCGAACAAAAACAGTACGTGAAATTTGTGGAAATGCCTCTGAAAGAGTTGTCATTGTGAAGCGTCGTTCTCATGAATTGCTTCATCAACTTTCCTTACCAAATCATCGGTGACAACAGAAGGCCGACAACTCCGAGCCTCGGCGTGGACATTTGTTCGACCTGCATTAAACATTCTTACCCACTTTCTCACCATTTCATCACTTATCGCGTATTCACCGTAAACCTGTGTCACTTGACGATAAATTTCGGCCGGTTAACATTCTCGCGTTCAAAAATTTAATCACGGCACGAATCTCACAGTCAGCGGGAGAACTAATTGTCTTAAACATTTGAATGTGCACAGCAAACTGAAAACACAACATAGAGCAACCAAAATGGCGACAATTGAAAGTCAGTGAACAAGAAAGACTAGTGCGCATGCGCGGGACGCCTACCACGGCGCGGTGACGGCGCTAGAATGAAACGGTACTTAGTTTCCGAATACGCTACGTATATTATTATAAATATTCATACATATGCTCATAATATAACTATCATAATAAACACAAATATTAAATATCATAATAAACACGAATGACTACGCGGAATGAGAATGCAAATTATTAAAATCTTGATAGAAATTCAAACGTGTGTAGTATTTGGTTGGAAGGAAAAGAATACCGAATGTATCGGAATTTTCTACGTTTTCGCAATTCTTTGGCCAATAGAACGACGAGCACCTGTCTGTACTCTCGCGCGCACCATAGGTTACGTTAATGTAGAGGAAGGGGGGAAAAGCAATTTTCGGGAGTATGATTCACCATCTGACGTTGCATATAAGGAAGAAAAGTTGTTTATTTAGTTTCGGCTTTGGTACGGGAAAAAAATGCGCGTTCATTAAAAACAAAGGATTAAAAAAAAAAAGCACTAGAAGCAAGAAATAAGCACTAAAAACAAAAAATAAGGGTTTTAAAGAAAAAGTAAGCACCTATAAGGGCCTTTATATTTTATTTTCAAATATAAGGACTTATAAAGCACTTGTAAGGACCGCTACGAACCCTGATTATTGTTTAACTTTTTTTGTATTGCAAATAATTGAATTTTGTGTTTTGTATTGAATTCAGTAATAAATTCTCTTTAAAATGATATATACAAGTTTGCATTTTGTGAAACGTAACGTTTTCTATAAGCATACAAAGTTCAAAAACATAAAAATTTCCAAAAGTGTCCACAATTTTGGCCACCACTGTAGGTATATTTTTTGTAAAATTTCCATGAAGGAACACAGATAGACTTTATGATTTAACAACTATGAAATGATGAAGTATTTGCCATTGAATTCTTTCAGGAGAAAAAAAAAAGAATTAACTACACAGGAACATTTGTTCAAATAACTGTTAATATATTTTGAAGCAACAAAGGGTTTTTATCATCAGGGGTACCTTGGTAAGGCGATAGTTCCATTTCAAACACCTTTTACTTAATGATAATGCTTTTTTTTTTTTTTTTTTACAAATTTCATAACATAGTGTTTGTTCTAAAGCAAATGTATTTTCTTTAAAATGCCAAAAATTGTTTGAAAAATATGATTAAGCAAGGAGGTGAACTGTTTGCGCAGACGACATTTGTGGTGGTGGAAAACTTCCGTTAAAACTCGGTATTTTGATCATTAAAGAAAATAAAATAATTTTAAACAACAGTTCATTTTATTAAGTGATTGAAACTTTCATGACTGCATGAAAGCTGCTACACAGCTCAGAAGTTCAGCATCATTTCACTCTCAGCATATTTGTACAATAGATAAATGAAAAATGTCATTTCCACATTTCTAATCAATGCTGGAACCTCTTCCACATATCTGCAAAATGGCAGATGGCACAATGATTATCCATAGTCACTCAAGGACGGAAACCCTTCTTTATTGCAGTCTCGGCAATTCTATCTTTTGTCTCCTGGGAGTGCAACAATCTCAGGATGAGAATTCACAACCTAATATGAGCGAGTCACAGCCAACATTTAAAATTTCTTAAGAAATAACTAAAATAATTATTTTTGAATAACTAAATAGGTAGAGAAATGTGTAAAAAATTCAAAAAACAAAAACTGGTTAACTAATTTATGAAAACATAAAACGGTAAATACAACAGCAGAACAAAATACTTACATCCCATAAAGTATAAAGGCCATAACAAAAAGCACACAAATAGAAGGTAAATCTCCAACTAATTAAAAAAAAAAAGTTTGTTAAGAATGATAACAAAATTTCTTTTATGTTATTACCACAATTAAAATTTTTTTTAAAATTTAAGCAGATTTTACTTACATATAATATAATTATAAAAAAAAAATATTTTTATTTACCTGTTATAGCCTAATCTAAATCTTATTTCTTACTTGAACTGAGAGACTTAAAAAACACTGTTGGTATATTAGATGCAATTTTTTAATATTGAAAATAAAACAATAATATACTTACGCACTTTCCGTGAATTTACTCAGTGTTGACACTTTTCCTCGCGATATTCGTCTGCGAATCCACCTCTCAACTCTTCTCTCACTCCAATCTAACTGTTTTGCTAAGCCTTGAACCTAAAATTTTATAAATCATTACTGAAACATTCAATAAGCAATTAATGAATATTACAAAACAATATGCTCTTTGGTTCATAATATATAATTTTCATAATATTTGCATATATATGATCAATTTTTATTTCTTATATATTGCAAATATCAAAGATTCAGAATTCTCATATTATGATAAAAATCTGTTACAGTTCAAAATGTTAAAACTTTGTTTCTTTAAACAAGCAGAAATGTGTAAGACACCAAAAAAGAAGCATGTAAATAGGATTTCCAAAACTTATATCTAGCACAACTGCTGCTAAGATTGTCAAACAATAATTAATCAGCATAAATCATAGCTAGGCAATTTTAAAATTAAAAATTTAGAGTAATGTGAAACAAGTCTACATAACAGCCTTTGGCTAAGAGTGAAGGTAAACTGTAAATATTAAAATCAAATTATTTGAAAATGGCCTAATTATGTGTTTGTGTGTCAAACGGGCTGGCGGCATGGGTGTTTTCGTGGTTTTTCCCATGTGTAACATGTATAGGAGCCAGTTTCCCTTAGAAAGTCCTCCACGAAGGCATCCCTCCCCTTAGGTAGATAGCCCTAGTGTGCTTTGCCATAATTAAATACACCACCATCCTTGGAACTGGACACCTAATATAGAAAGAGAAGTGAGAAGTTGTTATGGCATGGGTACATATCAGAGATTACAAAATTCACACTGGGTTCTCTCTATCACAAAAACTACTATGTTTTGTTAATGACAGCCATATTTGAAAAGAACTGTCACCAAATACTGCAGTTTAGTGCCTGTAAACATAACATCATGATATAATCATAAGATATCTGCCTTGGTTTTACTTAAACTCAGTTAATTTTTTTTAAAGAATGATATATGTTAATTGTCATTCAATTTGTTCCCCCTCGCATTAAAATAGTGGATCTGCTTTCAGCAGAACAGCATGCAGTGAAAATAACTGAAAAAATACCACAAATAAAAAACTCAGAAACAGAACTGATAGTAATTTAAAAGAAATAATTATTAATTACCATCACATACAACAATTGTAATAGCTAGTTTTCTTAGCGATCATAAAATGTGACTAGATCTACCTCAGCCTGATCCCTGCGAATTCTCACACAGGCCTTGAAGATGAACACAACCACAGAAGGGTGTAAAAGACCCTTTCATTGAACACAAAATATTTAACACGTGACATTATATGCTTACAAAAAACAGCAATTACTTGCAGTGAGAACTTAAGTTAACACTAAATTTAAAGGTAAAGAGTAGTGCAAGACTACACAATTCGATTTAAGCTAGCAGGTTGACTCAGAAACCTACACCAGCAGGATGAATGTGAAGCCAAAAACTCATAAAAAAATTGAGAAGTGACAAATATTTACATATTTTGTGTGGTTTGTTTTTAATTGACCAAATAGAAAAGTAAAGTCACCAGCGCAGAGTATTTTTAGGAACATGAGTCGACAATGCTGTGTTTTCTCAACTGCATAATATGATCAAGGATAGAATGGCATTTTTATGGCTTATTCCATAAAAAGAAATGGTGAAATTTTTTTCCTTTTATTGCTAAAGTTAGCTCATCATGTTGTTTGATATGGGTTTGCATGTTTCAATTTTCAGAGGTCATTTTTTCCTTGGAGTCGAAAATCCACCGTTTCCTTTCAGGTTGGATTTCATGCAATTTATGCTTGTCGTCACAGAAATGCCAGTCAAATCAGCAGCAAAAGTAACAATTTCATCATCGGATTTATTAGGAAAATGCTGCCATAATTTGACAAAAGCACTCCTAAAGATAATCTTAGCATAACTGCAGCATTAGGGTTTTCCAGACTTGTAACATTTTGAAATTATACACATATGTCAAAGATGAAGCAGACGGCATAACAACTGCTTTCTTCTCCTCCTGTGAATGAGTGATTGCTTTTCTCATCGAGAACGAGGTAAGGTTGGGTTGCTGGAATTTGCAGTTTCGCCAATAATGCCCAAAAAAGGGAATATCTTCCTACTGGTCATTGCATGATTGAAACGATATTAGCAAATTTTTAAAGAAAAAAGTATTTTTAAATACAACGTAATTATCTGTTTTTCATTCCATTTCATTTTGCTCAACAATATTTATACAGTCAAAAGTCTTTAATCCGGATGTCCATAATCCGAACCTCAAAGCTACAAACTTTCTGCGCATGCGTCAACACATAATGCATTAACGCATGCACAATAATACCTGTTCGCATGCGCATATACATCTACGCATGCATGTTTAATGTATAACGGACGGTATAAGCTAAGCTAAAATTATCTATTTCAGTTAATATTGCAGATTGCATTGTTCCTTAAGCTTCTAATTGGATGTGGCTTATTATTTTTTGCCAACTGTTAGAGCAATTTTGTAAAAGTAAGCCTGAACTTTCGATTATGCCAAAAAGAATTTCTGATTCTGCAGCTACCAAAGGATCTACAAAGTGAAACCACATTTCGATGTCCATCAAACAAAAAGTGGAATTGCTGCAAAAAATGGTAAAGGTATATCCTTTGATTCTCTAACCATTCCGAAACATGTTTATCAATTTCCCGCTGCTCTGCGGGAGGGGAGGGAACCGTTGCGGCACGAAAGGAACTGGTTTCGGATTTCGGTGTTAGAATCACCGTTGCTGTAGAATTTCAACAGCCTTTCTTTATTTTTCCATATATCACACACAATCGTGTCACAATTCCATACCATTCTGCTATAAATCGAGGAGTAGCACCTGCTTCCATCTTTTGCAGAATTTGCACTTTTTGCGTTACCGTCAATGCAACGTGTTTATGTTTTTCAAATTTGCAAGCAGTAAAATCACGAGTGCGTTTTTTTATCTGTCATTGTATTAAAAAGGGCTGAAATTAAAAATATTCTTAATTTATCCACAAAATATCCATATAAAAAAAGGGCAGCACAAAACAATCTTGTGAAATGAAAAAACAAAGCTCAGAAAATACAACAACGTGAATCGTGAAGTTGAACACAGAGTTGAGTGAATCGTCTGCTTTTTTACCTCAATGCAGATTAGACAGGAAAAAACTTATTTGTTTTATCTTATTTTTTAAACTTTTTTATATCAATAATTTGGTATTTCCGTTTTGACTCATTATTATTCGGTAAGTATTTTTTTCTTCGATATTTCGTACTCAATGTTGAGGTTTCCGGAGCCTATAAACTGAATGTTTATATTCTGAGAGGCAACGCGGATTTCAGGTCAGCGGATTTTTGGTATTTGACTGTAGTTATTTATAATTTGGTTTTACGTAAACAGAAATGAATGTTGAAGACGAGCAACAATGTGTACTGTGTATGAAAGTTTTGGCAGTGGAGTGTATGCTACTGAGATAATTGAAGTGCCATTTAAAAGCTAATCACCACAGCATGATTGGCAAACCTCGATTTTTTGCTAGGAAATTAAAAGGACAACAACAACAAGAAACATTTCTTTAAACTGCATGAATGCATCAATACCAAATAATGCTTTGCTAGTATCTTACAAGATGACTTACAGAATCGTGAAATGTAAGAAACCTCATACCACTGCAGAACTTATTCTATCAGCTGCTGTAGATATGGTGAACATCATGGCTGGTGAATCTGTGGGGAAGCTGTTTTAAAAGTGACTTTGTCCAATAACACAATTAGTCGGAGAATGGTGGAGGATATCAACAATCAATTAATTGAAAAAATAAAAGGAGTGGAATTTGGATTACAGGTAGATGAGGCTACAAATAATAATATGGATGCTTATTTGACAAGCTATGCAGCACTTATAGATGAATAATAATAAAGAAGACCTTCTGTTTTTAAAAAATATTACTGCAGTAGCAAAGGCTCAGAATCTGTTCGAGATTCTTGATACATTCATATCTGAAAATAATTTGAATTGGTCAAAGTGAGTTGGTGTCAGCACTCTTGCTCCATGTCTGGCTGCTATGAAGGACTAATTACGAGGGCCATCCAGGAAGTAGATTACGTTTCCGTCTGTGTCCGCTAGGGGTGGGGCTAGCGCGGCCATCTTGGGGTCAGAGCATTGCGCAGCTTAGTCTGCATCTAGCCGTGCTAGTGAGAGGTTCGTGCTGTGCTCCGTTCAGATACTGTAACGGTTTGAAATGTCTGCGTTAATTGAAAATCCCGCGAGCTGCGAGGTGCGCTCAGTAATAAGGTTTCTGACTGCAAAAAACTGTAAACCGATAGAAATCTATCGGCAGCTTCGTGAAGTGTATGGGGACAACATTATCACTGAAGGTGGAGTGCGTCAGTGGGTCATAAGATTTCAAAATGGCCGAACCAATGTTCACGACGAAGATCGAAGTGGGAGACCCAGCATAGTGACCGCCGAACTTCTCGAAAAAGTCGATGCTAAAGTCCGTGAAAATCGAAATTTCACAATAACGGAACTTTCTTTCTTTGAGTTTTCCACAAATTTCGCGAAGTTTGTTGCACGAAATCATCAGCGAAAAGCTTGGTTACCACAAGTTTTGTGCAAGATGGATTCCAAAAATCTTGACAGAGGACCACAAAAATCAGCGAATGGCTGCAGCGTTGAACTTTTTGGACGCTTACCATAAGGATGGTGACTCTTTACTCGATCGCATCGTTACTGGTGACGAAACATGGGTGAAACATGTGAACTGTGAAACGAAATTGCAATCAATGCAGTGGGGGCACACAAGTTCTCCCCAAAAACCCGACGCACAGCTGCAAGAAGAGGTAACGAAGTGGTTGAAGGCGCAGGCGGCCGAATTTTTCGACGAAGGAATTTCCAAGCTCGTACATCGCTACGATAAATGCCTTAATTTGTATGGTGACTATGTAGAAAAGTAGTATTTGAGTGTGGCTTTCATCTGTATATAATAAAATTTGTTTCCTATACTTTGTTTATTTTTTTATTCCAAAACGTAATCTACTTTCTGGATAGCCCTCGTATAAGCACTTACTCAAAGCAAATCACCAAATGCACTGTAGACCCATTGGATTATTTATTCACAGAGATGCGCTTGCACCAAAACATCAGAGTCTTGCACTGAATCAGGTGTTAGAATGTGCGGTGAATATTCTAAATTTTATAAAATCTTGTCCACTGAAAGTAAGGCAAAAAGCTGTGTGAGAATAAGGGAGTTGAATACCCATTTTTCTTGTATTATAGCATTGCACAATGGATCTCCTGTTGTAATATTTTATCATGTACCTTTGAATTGAAGCAAGAATTTTTTATTTTCCTTAAAGAGGAAGGATACAAAGATGCAGAAAATTCTGATGAAGCTGATGTTTTATAAAACTAGCATATTTATGCAACATTTGTGAAAAACCAGAATTCTCATAATCTGTTTCTGTAGGAAAGAAATATGCACCTTTGATGTCAATGGAAAAATACCAACTTTTATTTAAAAAAAAAAAAAAAAAAAGATGCATACTATGGAGAAGAAAATTGAATGAAAATGCAGACAAAGATTATTTTTAAATATTGTGGCAAAGCTTGGAACTTGATCTTTTCAAGATATAAAAACCATGTTTGAAGGGCACTTATCACAGCTTATTATCTGATTTGAGAAATATTTCCAAAATGGAAATTTTGATAGGTTTGCATGGTCTCAAGATCCATTTAACACAGTGCTTTGTCTGAATTTACTTTTGCAGAAAAGAATCTTATCAAATTATCTTGTGACAACAGTCTGAAAGCAAAATTTGGCCACATGGAATTGACAGAATTTTGGATTTCAATACAAGATGAATAGCCTCTTCTAAGTGATAATGCTCAGCAGATTTTAATTCCACTTTTAATGTTGCATTCGTGTATTTATGGCAGTAGCTGCAATAAAAAGCAAGTATATAGCAAAAATTAGAGTAGAAAAGGAAATGAGGGTGGACATGTCCAGTTTAACTCCATGATTTGAGAAAATGTGCAGTGATTGGTAGTCTTGTCTTATCACATTGATTATTAACTTTAAAAAAAGTTACATAAAGATACATAAATTTGACTTTCCCCCTAATCTCTTGCATAACAATTAGTTATACTTGTGGTAGTACGTCATGGAAAAATTTTAATTCAAAAAAGGAGACAGAACTTTGAAAAGTTTGGGAACCACTGCAACAGATAAATAATAATGGAAAATACTATTCTTTTTACTTAATAGTTTAACGTTTTGATTAACTAACAGTTTAATTGAAAACTGTAAATGAGATTTTCTTCCGTAGAAGAATATCTCACAAAAAATCTCATTCCTAGGTAATAACAGCTTTTTTATACGATAAATAAAAATAACATAATAATATAAAACAAAGTTCCTCCAATCTTTTCTAGACACTGACCTCATTGAGAAATATTTTCTCCTCCACTGACCTTCTTTAAATTAAACTGCTTTTACAACTCTTTTGATAAACGAAGTTTGTCTAGATGATTACAGCATATCAAATAATGTGATAATTTATGATAAAAAATATTATGCACATTAATTACAATAACATATACAATAATTAATGAGTCAATTAATGTAAAATGTAAAAAATAATAATGGATATTAAATACATAAAACAGAAGAAAAATATATAATACTGTATAAAATAATTATCTATAAAGCAATCTAAAGCAATCTAATCAAACAGATGCAGAATTGGGGAGGGGATAAGTAAGGTTTCTTTTATTGAGAAATCGGAGATTAGATAATATCAGATAAATATTTGGTTCAAAATTACTTCAAATTACTCTTAAATCATAGCATTCTACAATGTCTATTCTATTTCAGGATTTTCATAAGAAACTGTTTAGACAGCTAAAATAAGCCTATGTTTAAAAGAATGAACTATGAACCAGTATGCACATTTTGACAATTAAGTAAATCATAATATTTTAAACTTTGAATACAAAGCAAAAATATATAAAATTAAATTTAAATAAACATACACATTACTCCACTTTTAGCTGCTCAGTAGAATTTATAGATCCTTCACTGACTCCAAAAGCTGCAATGGATTGTGAATCCCAATTTTAACCATACGGAAATCTCATTTTAAAACATTATCACAATCCCTAATTTTTTTGATTTATCAGAAATGCATTATAGAATTTATCAAAAATAAATATATTTTAAAAGGAAATACATATATATGTAACATTTTTGAAGCATAGAAGAGGAATCAGCTTGCAGTCGTTGTGGTTTATGGTGAAGGCTTATAGATGAAGATAACAAAACAAAGCATGAACTTGATGAATTCACAGTCTTTATTTCTAGGCATATAAAATCATTTCAGTAGATAGATATTTATCCAATCATAATGAAATATGATAAATTGCTATGTATATTGGTTTCTTAAAATTAAGAAGCAGGCATTTTAGATAAGTGAAGCGAGGAGATATTAGCAAGGTAGAAGCTAGCAGAATAATGAAGTAATTAGCTCATCAGGGTATTTATACTAAATCTGAGGTATAAGTAGAGCTAGTCTGCGATTGGCTAATTTTAGTTTTAGTTGCCCTTTTCCAGTAGTGTTACTAACATAGAATATTCTCAAAATTGGGAGAAGAGCTGAATTTAGGGGAAGAGCACCAAATCTAGAAATGTTAATTTTGAAGCTGCTAATTATTTTTAAAGAAGCTATCATATTTTTTTTTTTATATCTTACAAATATATATATATATATATAAACTATTTTGCAAAAATTTGTTCACAGAAAATAACTATCAAATTATTTATGATTGCTTTACCTGTTTATAACCTATCTTTCCATTTTCACAAAATGCTTTCTCTAAAACTTTGTTATCTGTTTTCTTAGGAATTTTTGGTTTCAAACCAAGGTAACACCCTATTGGTGAAAATACAAATCTGGAAAAAAATATACATATGATATACATATATAAAATATAATACAGCAAGAAATCTTATCTTATAAAAGGAAACAAGTAAGATAAAGATGTTTTCAGTCACTATGCAAGAATAAATTTATAAATTAGTTTTGTAGTTTGTTCTTAAAATATCCGTAAGATATACAACAACATACAAAAAGGAAATCTCACGAGTTTATGTACTTATTTGATAAATTGTAAAATTCAATGAAATCCAAAACAATTAAAATATTGCTACAACAAAAACACAACTCTTTTATTACTTTATAAGAATACACAGCTAAGTGCTGCAAGAAACTGATATTAAAAATTTTCACTTAAAAGAAAATGAAGTATAATCTTGATCAGAACTAAATTTCTAAACTGTGAAATACTGAAGCTCTGTAGATGGCCATCAGGAAGCGTAATGGCAGACTGCACATTGAGTTGAACAGTATTAAATGAATGTCGCATACTGCGCATGCCCAGAAAACAATTTGGTGTAATTACTATATTGGCGCGATTTGAAAAGAAGATAAATACGGTATATGGTAGATGTACCGCCATCTGATTGTAAACAAATCTGGCGTTTAAACCTTCGTAGAGTATAATGTAAATGTAAATTAATTACTCTGTTAAAATACTGTTTTTTGCTGTACTGCTCAAACAACTAGAAAAGCTGAAATTATTGCGAAGTAATGTCAAGCAATGTTTGCATTCAAAATGTAAAATATAATACTTATGAAATTCTGCACATTCCTTTGGAACTGTACAAATTTTTGTTCAGAAAAAGACTGAAATTTAGGATATATTAGTCGAAAATTTATTCATTATACTTTTAAGCAATAAAAACAATTCAGAATTTACCATAAGTTCCATTCGTACATAAGAAACACTGAGGATTATAACAAGTGCTTGCAAATAACACTGAAGAAATTTTACAATTCCTTAATGCTAGTTATTAAATTCTTTTAAATGAGAAAATAAAAGCGCGAATATACGCTAACAAACTAAGCGAGATACTCCAGTTTACAATTACTGAATTATAACATGTAAACAAATTACATTTAAATAACAAATTATTACGAACATATGTTAACAAATATTAAATATTAAATGCACTGTTATTGACAAATTAAAATGAAACATATATTAGAAAAAATAAGAAAGTGCAATCGGTATGGACGTTTAAATAACTAATATAAGCAAAGTTCCACAACATTGCAATTGTAAACATCACTCGAACACACTCGACAGCCATGGAGATCACGAATAAGCTAGCGTAGGGTTGCTTAGTAGCCAATATTTCTCCCCGCGCCAAAAGTACACCATCAAGCATGCGCAGCAAGCGAAATTCGCTTAACACTGTTCAACTCAATGTGCGGTCTGCCATTATGCCATCAGGAATGACAGGTGCATATCCTGATTTTTAATGAAGAGCATGCTGTTGGACACCAAATTTTTAAAAAATTATATTATTGAATTCAAGTTTGAACTGGATGTAGTACTTGCTTGATTTATGCAAATTGTGCTATATTTCCAAATCAGTAAATCAAATATATAAATTCATTATTAATTTATCTCTGTGGCAGATAAAAACTGAATGCTGATATAGTTAATTTAATATTTGCAAAATCAGTGATTCAGCCTTTTAAGTGTTATGAATTCTGCTAGTATTTATTTATACATGGTAGAAATTTATGAAAACATATATTTTCAAACTCAAAAGAAAAACAGGAATTTCAACTCAAATAATTCATAGGATTACAGTTAAATTTCAGAAAAACTTCTGCATAGAGAAATAATGTAAATTATTAATTAAGCTTTTCATATAATTTCTCGACACATTACATTCTCACAATTCAGATTTTACTTTTTTTGACTCTACTCTTATATGCGCCCTAAGATCACCAAATGTGGCGATATGTGTTCTGCGCTGGGTTTTGGCGTGATTCCGTGTTGTTGGATGGTTTGGTGGACGATGCTGTTTGTATGGCAAACCCTTTTGATGTTGAAACTTAACTCTTTTGCTGCAGTGGTTAATTGCTCATTGGTTTCATGTGTTGCGTGTTTTGAAATGCCTATGTTGCAATGATAGACGTAGTAGCAAGATTTCAGTCGCGTATTTTAGATTGTGTGGAAGTAAATTAGTATTAGAAGATACGATGTTGAGTTGTTAAGGAGTCTTTTGTTCACATTGTGTTATGAGGATCGAAGTGTATTTTTGGAATTATGTGAGATTCTAAAATGGAGTCCGAATGAGGACCGCTATGAGAACTCGGACGAAGAAGGGTGTTTCTGACAATTTAATTTGCAGTCAAATCTGCTGGTAAAGTATGTGGCTATCAGTGGAGTTTAAGATTTGGATCGAGGTTTTCGTGTAGTAAGTTAACTTTGGAGGAAGTTTTATCGTTACTTTCGAAATTTTTCGCAGAAATGACAATATAGCAAAATCGCTGCACTTTTGTTCACAGACGTTGTGTGACTGGCAAAATTTTATTATATGCGCCCTAAGATCACCAAATGTGGCGATATGTGTTCTGCGCTGGGTTTTGGCGTGATTCCGTGTTGTTGGATGGTTTGGTGGACGATGCTGTTTGTATGGCAACCCTTTTGATGTTGAAACTTAACTCTTTTGCTGCAGTGGTTTAATTGCTCATTGGTTCATGTCGTGCGTGTTTTGAAATGGCCTATGTTGCAATGATAGACGTAGTAGCAAGATTTCAGTCGCGTATTTTAGATTGTGTGGAAAGTAAATTTAGTATTAGAAGATACGATGTTGGAGTTGTTAAGGAGTCTTTTGTTCACGATTGTGTTTATGAGGATCGAAGTGTATTTTTGGAATTTATGTGAGACTTCTAAAAATGGAGTCCGAAATGAGGAGCCGCTATGAGAACTCGGACGAAGAAGGGTGTTTCTGACAATTCTTACGTGTATTTGCAGTCAAATGCTTGCTGGTAAAGTATGTGGCTATCAGTGGAGTTTAAGATTTGGATCGAGGTTTTCGTGTAGTAAGTTAACTTTGGAGGAAGTTTTTATCGTTACTTTCGAAATTTTGAATCGCAGAAAGACAAGTGATATAGCAAAATCGCTGCACTTTTGTTCACAGACGTTGTGTGACTGGCAAAATTTTATTAACGAATGTATTATGATAAGTGCATTTCATTTTAATGTTTTTTATTTTTAGAATGTTACGTTCATTGTTTTTTTACTATGAATTTTTGTTTTTATTGTTGTTTTTTGAACTGTTTGAAATTTTAGTTATTTTAGTTTATTTTGTTGATTTGTGCGCAATGCCTAGATTGTGCAATTTGTAGATTTTTTTAAGGTTTAAACAGGATGCTGTGTGCATGGTATTCTTTGAAATTTATTGTTGTTATGTTAATTTATTAAAGCGAGGAGTGTGTAGTTCATCGTTTCGTTCGTTGCCTAGATTGTGCGATTTGTAGATGTTTTTTGAAGTTAAAACATATCACTGTGTACATGGATTCTTGTCAAATATTTTTCATTAGAAACTTTATGGGGACTTTTTTTTGTTTTGCTGGCACAGGCGATAAAGTCGACAATAATGGTACTACTGATGCTTAATGGAATATCCTCACTGATAACCTTTTACGCATCATTTTCAAAACAAATCGCAGCCATTTCTTATCAGATTGATTATTTCTTTCAATACTCGCATAGAATTTTTACCAGATAGTTCAGTTTTATGCCCTAAGGCCATTCGCAGTAAGTCAATTAGGATGCAATCACACCGCTGAACCAAAGGCAAAAATATAGAAAAGTCAAGGGTTAAATTCATCAATTCTAATGAGAATGCACCAGCGAAGTAAAGCACTACGGTATTATATTGTTTCTGAGCAAGCTATTCGTATGAATTGAAATAATTTCTTGCATTCCAAATTAAGATTTAACTTGAAATTAATGTAGATGATTACTAACAGAATTATATTTTTGTAGCGTAGTTTACACGAAATGAGATCACTTAGGGTCCTGTGATGTGAACCAGCGAATCAGGATGTTGAACCTGAAAGCATAGTAAATTCTTAAATTAATGTCTTTTTATAAAATTTTAAACAATATTAAAATGTTTCTACCTTCAAAATAAAAAATTCTTAAAACTAACATTTTTTATGTGTATACTGCATGTTGTCGCCAATAAAGTCTGCTTGGCGAGATTTGCGCCGGCTAAACGAAAACGTTTCTGCTATCTAATTTTTTTTGTTTTGGATTTTTAGCTGAAATTGTGTGTTCAAAACGTGGTTTTTGCACTTGCAAAAACTCCATTTTTGGAGAAATTTTAGGCTTAAAGTTTGAAACGTAGACAAAAAATTTAGGTAGTAATATGGCACAGTGGAGTTTCTCGGTAAAAATGTTTGTCGAGAAATTTGTCGCCACTATCTGGCAACCTCAGGGCGCATATAAGAGTAGTTCCCTTTTTTTCAGTAAACATTCTGTTTGTAGCAAGGTGGGAAAGGAACTCATTTTCCTTGTGTACTCGCATTTTGTGACATGAGGCTATGCATTTTGATTGAACCGAGAAATCGCTACTTCCTTTATATGTCCTTATATGAATTTTAACTGCCATTTACATAATTATTCTAAGCGATAATAAATGTGCATGCTATAATGTGCCTAAATTTTCCACTCATATTTAAATTTATTAATATTATGCAGTTCTATCTATTTGTGGAATCAGCAGGCTGATCTAGGCCTCTAGAGGCAGATCTTGTATTACAAAGGCAAATATGTAATTTATAAATCAATTTGATATATATTTTATTGCTTTTTTTATCCCATCTTTATAAAGCTTCACATATCGGCATTTGCTTATTTTACTAAAGATCTGTGCTTTATCGTTTATTTGTGAAGATATTTAAACTTATTCGAATATTACAGCTAGAGCCTAATTTCTAAAATTAGAAATGCCAGAACTCAACAGAATGCCATCAAGAATGGGAACAAAAATATTAATTAAAATAAAAGATAAAACAATAAATT